AGAGAGAGAGAGAGAGAGAGAGAGAGAGAGAGAACGCGTTGAACATTGGTTATCTGCGTGGCCTTTCAATCAAGCTTTGTACGATATATGAGATTCTCATTTCTTGGCACTACCATTGTCGTCATTTCGGCATGGGTTCTTGTTGGGGACCTTGTTTCTGCTTTCAAATGATCTTGTCCATAGAGTTTGTGACTGGATGGAAACATCACTTTTGGTTAATCCTTTATTCTTTTTTTTTGTTTAATTTTGTTTTGAACTTTTGAATCCTTTCGATGTTGGATATGTTGCTGCATGTATCATGCGCATTTTACACGAGTTCAATCATTCTCTGATTGCCAGACCTAGGATTGAGATTGTTAAGCCGGGAGCTGTACCGCAGTGTCATTCGACCGTTTTCTTGCTGTCAAAATGTAGCACGCAGCCACGACAACCACCCAGCAACTGATTTGGAAGTGTACCACAGAGTCCTTCAGGGCATATTCACACTAGCATCTTTTTCGGCCAAGCTCTGGACGTGATTGCGGTCAGATTCATCTGGGGCTGGCTGTAATTGCAGTCAGATGCATTCTGGACAGTGCTAGTGTGAGTATTCCCTCAGCCATTCTTGCTGTCATAATTTAGCAAGCCGCGACAACCACCCAGCAAGTGATCAGTTACTTCTGATGCTTCTGTTTGACACCTCCTTTTTTTTTTTTTTTTTGAAAGAAAAAGCATGCGTTATTATATATGGAGCAAAAGGAGACCGGGAATCCCTCCACATCTCAACCCGGAAGACTGGGGCCATTACCCAGGTTTGGCTCTTGCTGGAACCCGGGTCCAGTTACCTTCTCTCCTATGATGCTTCATGCTATTCTGAAACAAAGAGTAAAACTGGATTAACAAAAGATAAAATAGCAAAGGTGAAATAACCTGTGTACTAACTTTCCATCCGTCCCCATCTTGGGCCCTAAAACCGACCGCTGTGACTCATCTTTCCCTTTACCCCCGACGCCTCCTCCTCTCTGTCCACTCCACGTAAACCCTAAACCCTACAGAGCGAACAATTCGCTCTATCCTAAAACCTAGCCTAACCTAGCTATCTATTCCAAAGGTTGAAACACTATGACTAGCCTTCCACTATTGCTGTCTTACCTATTCCTCTTAAATAACTCTTCACTACGCGAAACTCTCGTTGCCTCTTGTTTGAACCGTCTATCTTTCACAACAGTGGAAACTCAGCGTCAAGCCTACTAATGTTGCTATCTTCCCTTCGAGCAAAACCCTCTTTTGAAAATTTTCCGTTAGGTCCTTGGCTTGCATTGGGTTTTGCTGGGCCTGCTTGCGGATTCCCTTCCATTGAGCCTGGATGTCTGTTTCCACTAGTTTGTAGAGCGTCTCCTTCGCTTCTTGCCTGTGCATTTGCTTATTTCCGATGGCCTGCTGGCATCTGCGCTTCCATATCGTCCATAGTACGTAGTGCCTTATAAGCATGAAAGTGCGCTTCTGGTACTGAGGCCCTACCGCAGGAGGGTCACTTCCTATCAGAAGCGTCTCCTCTTCCTCGGGGAAGGGGGAGTCTGTAATTTTAGCCCAGAGTGACTTGGCCACATCCCATAGATATACTGCTTCTGGGCAAGAGAGGAGACAGTGTCGCAGGGTCTCCGGTACCCCTTCCATGCATTGCGTGCAATGTTGACTTGAGGGATCACGGTGGTGCTGACTGTGACGCTAAAAAAGCCATGAGTTGAATGAGACTGCCACGTGGAGGATCAACCACTGCAGACTCCTTACCTTGCTTAAGCGGATCTGGTGTAGGGATGACCATGGTAGTCTTGCCACTTTTTCCTTCGGCACCTGCATTCTCTTCTCCCATCTAAGTGCCAAGGGTTCAGCTAAGGGCGATGAGCGCTTCCTGAGCCTGTATTGGTTGTATAGTGCAGTGTGTTGATTTTTCTCGTTATGCCTAGTGAGCCCCCCCTGAGGTTCCATGCCCACTCCACTGGGTCAACCCCCAAGTCCTGAATATCCGTTGCTGGCGCAAATATTGTGAACTCCTCCGTCTCCATCACCCTCACTTTCCTCAGCTGGTCCTTTTATATGGAGATCTGAATGGCCATATCCTTGTCCAATGGACTTTTATAGGCCCCTGGGGATTGGATTGTGTACATCTGTGCGGTCAGCCATTCCGCGCCCGGTCCCACCCAATTCTAAATGCTTCCGTTGGAGCGTCCTTATTGCACCAGGCTGCCCAATCTCCACAACCCCAATGTCTTGGCCTCTGCCAGCCTGTGGCTTCCCTTCAACACCTCCCTTAGCTCTTGAGCCGTCTTCCTTTGCTGTTTATCTTCTGACCAGAGGTGTTTGACCTGCCAGATGCCATGCTCCAGCCAGGTTCCCCACTTGGTGTCTTTAGTCGTAAGAGTGCGTGGTTTCCCCTGCTTATCCTTAACCCATGGATTGCAGAAGAGGGGTTGTCTCAGGACTTCCTCCCTCGTGGTTGGTTCCTTGACTTTCGCCGGGAAAATTTCCATACAACTTTTCAACAGTTGAGCCCAATATGACCCTCCCCTAGGACCTCCTTCTGTTCCTCCGTCGTTTCCACTCCTTCCTTTCTTTGCCCAGCTCTTACTCAATAACCAGAAGGTCCCCACCATGTTGGAAGGTGTTTTGAACTTGGTCTGTTCCCTAATATGCTCCATAGCTAGAGGGACCCAGGGTAGCTGCGGGTGCGTGATCAGCTTCAAAATCCATTTTGTTTGGAGTGCCTTCAGTTGCTGTTCCGGATCCAGAATGCCCAGTCCCCCTTGGTCCTTGATTTAATGACATGCCGCCAAGCCACCTTGGAAATAAAATGTTGCTTAGTTGGGTTCGCTGTCCACAGGAAAGCCGCTAATTCTCTTCTGAGCTCCTTCATTGCCTGGGCTGGTGGAGTCCATATCGAGCCAGCGTACCACATCATGGAGTACAATGAGGTATTAAGAATGAGTGCTCATCCAAATACAGATGTGTAAACCTGGGGCCACACACTGATCCTTATTAGCATTTTTGTCAGGAGTTCCGGTGCCATCGAGTGGTGAGGGCCTGAGTCCGCCAGCCCAGCCCCTAGATACTGGAAGGGTTCAGCAGTTGAGACTTAACTCATCCCGCCGTAGTTCACTGGGTGGAGTTGACCCTCTTCTGTCCCTTGTACCAGCCACCAACCCATTGTCTTGAGCCAATTTATATTCATTTCTGATGCTAGCTGGAAGGCACTCATTGCCCTTGTGAGCGCTTCGAAGGAGTCTGAGGCCCGTATCAGAACTGTTAGGTCATCCGCGAAGAGCATGGTTGTAGGGAGCTTGATGGTTCTACATACCTGGTCTGGTTCCGCTACTAATCTGGCTATCGAGGGGTCCTTCCTTAAGAAGGAAGCTATTGCTTCTATGATAAAGAGAAAGATAGGGGCCGCAAGAGGATTGCCTTGTCGAACAGAGCTTGACATTCTATACCTTTCTGACAGGTGTCCGTTTACCTGGACCTGTTCGTGGGCGTCATTATAGAGAACCCTTATTTTCGAAAGTTGGGGCCCACTCCCATTTTTCCCATACATTGCTGAAGGAAATTCCATTTTACCTGGTCGTACGCCTTTTCAAAGTCAAAAAATAAGATAGCCGCATTAATTCTTTTTTCCCTGATCTATCTTACTGACTCCGAAAGCGTCATTCATTATCGAGGACAAACCGTCCCGGAATAAATCCAGTCTGGTCTAAATGAAAACAACCCCTGGTCACCTTAAGTTTGTAATGTATTACATTTTATAATTTTTATTCCCATCACCCGCTTCTGCAGAATGTTCAACGTCCTTTTGTTATGCAGGATATTTCATTGGCTTGTCGTTCTTTCTCTTCTTCTTCTTCTTCTTCTTCTTCTTCTTCTTCTAATAATAATAATAATAATAATAATAATAATAATAATAATAATAATAATAATAATAATAATAATAATAATGGCTACGGTGTTGGTATATCCTCTCATTGAACTGACCGGTCCCATGTAATTCGTTATGTTATTTTTTATGTGATTGCATCGGGTATTGAAAAGGGTTTTAAAACTTCTTATTTTTTTTCCTCAAATTCTAATAAGAATCTGAAGATGATGCTCAGCCAAATGTTGCCTGTTTTGTGCTGTTGCATCACATCGTTTTTTTTTTCTCGGATTTGTATGAGTTGTGTACGGAGTTACGAACTGAGATAGGCCTGTTGTCTGCCAGTCTTTCTTAGCCTTTTTGGGGATGTAAAGTGTTTTTTTTTTTGGGTTTTGTTTTGGATCTGTGTTGTGCAGGATTCTGTGCGAAAAAGTGGATGCTCTTGAAATTGACAGGGATGAACTGGTTTTTACAAATGCAAAGCTCAAAGCAGACTTAGGCGCAATGACAAAAGCACGCGACCTTCAGTCCAATCACGCAGCGCTGCTTCTGAAGGAGAAAAACAGGTTAGCAACTCTTCCCGAATTTCAGCATTTTTGCTCCACGCTTCTCCATCTGCACCTCTATGAATTTGAATTCGAACTTCCCTTTCAATTATGCTGTACCCCACAGGTAATTGACGGGAAAAAAAAGAAAAACCAAGGTGGTTCTCACAATGCCATGCTATCTGCGGTTGCCGGGCCCATTTTCCTCCGCACACTTGTATGGTGGATTGCTGGTGACAATATGATAGGATGGATATGTTCCTTGGTACCTTTTACAGACAGGCTACCAGTAGGTATCCCATCCCCCTGCAGTACCCCTCCTACACCTGTGATTGGCAGACTGAAATGAACTCCATGGATGCACCGTCGTAAAAGTCTAGACCTGCATTTGTTCGTTGCGAAAATCTGGACAGTTTTGACGATGACTGGATTCAATGAGGGACGGGGAGACAGACACATGCACAGAGAGATAGAGATAGATAGATAGATAGATAGATAGATAGATAGAGATAGATAGATAGATAGATAGATAGAGATAGAT